CGAGGGAGAGCGAGGGAGAGCGAGGGAGAGCGAGGGAGAGCGAGGGAGAGCGAGGGAGAGCGAGGGGGAGGGAAGGAGAGAGAGAGAGAGAGCGAGAGAGAGAGAGAGAGAGATGCGCAAACGAGAAGGCACAAGCAGGATGAGGGTTGTCACCCATCTCTATAGAAACGCTTACCGTATCTGTTTGTTGAGGAGGCCTCTGGTTGAGGGCCGTAGCGGCTGGTCATCTATGTTTTGGAGGACAACACTTCACACCTCCTGGTGGAATAGATGACCCTCCAGTTGGTGCATCCCCAACATCCCAGCATGTCCCTGCACTTCCCGGGGCACCTCCAAGAGGGGCTCAGACAAATCTTCAAGGAGCACATCGTGACACGCCAGCAATCGCGCGTCAAGAGCTTCGACCACCTGCATGAGATTGTGCTGTCCCTCAATCGAAGCGCTTGTGCGTGACGCGAGCGAGCGCCTTGGTTGTCTGTGTATGATGTATATATGTATGTATACTGTATAGGAGGTCACCGGAGTTGCCAGATCAATGGAGTTGAAGATCGTTAGATGGGCCGTTGACAAACCTGTGAGGTTACTTCTAATGCCATCAACTTTCTGGTCGGTCCTTATCGGTTGATGTCACACTCTAGAATGCCCAGGTGGTCTCCAGTATCCTTGGATCTTTTCCAGTGCCTATATGCCTTTTTTTTATGGACAAAGATCCGGCCTGGGTCCTAAAGGCCCCCCTCCAGCGAGCCTCACTGTGCACCTCGCCAGCCAAGTACATCTGAATCTTCTCTCGCAGCTTCTCCTGCAGTTGTCACAGGCCACAAGACCACCTGTTACACAAAATGTGTCGGAATCAAGACCAAAGGGTTGCCCGAAACCATTGAACACCATACAAGCGCCTCAGACAAGTCTTTGTAGGAGTAGGCCTCCGACACAATTGTGGGAGTGGAGCTTTCGTTGATTCGGACATGTCTTTTGGAATGTTTAGAACGGATTTCACGGGCCATCAGTTTCACCATAACGAACATGATGAGTCACTTATGAGTCAGGGGTCAGTGTCAATCATCTTTGAACTAAGCGCCCTCCATGAAATCCCATTCCCGGCCCGCACACCCACATGCCTTGGTCGTGCCTGCGTTGATGAACTTCTCGTGTAGAGACTCCAACTCTTCCACATGAGAGTCGCCTGTGCCTTCAGACTCGCCCTGCTCGATTTCGCGAAGGGCCACCTGAAACGAAGGAGGACCACGAACAGCAAGCCGAGCACTGCGGGGGGGTTGGGACGGATTTGGAACCTGAGCACCCAAGCGCTGTAGACATGACTTTTGGAAGAATGGGGGGGGCAGATCTTCCTGTCTCCCACCTGTGCCCAGGGACATTCCTATTTCAAAGAGAACAACTCTGGGGACTCAGTCTGATACCCAGGCATACCCAGGCTCTGGAGAAACCTCTAAGGTTCTCAGGAGCTCCTCCCGTTCTTTAGCATGTTTCCAGCGCCTGGAGATCTTTCAAGCGTGCTTTGGGCCCTTGGAGCGAGTAGAGGGGCATGGGTAGCCTCGGCCGAGAGGGTGCTGAAGAGATGATGCGCTCGAGGGGGTTTGTTATCCGCAACCTGCAGCAGATTGGCCACAAACACACTATCCTCTCCACCATCATCCACTTTACTAAACCAAAGGATCTAAATTTCCCTGAGTTTGGACAATACTTCTTGGATCACCCGACTGTAGGAAAATAAGAACCATGAACAGTGTCCGATTGCTTCTCAAACTCAAGAACTCCTTGAAACACTAATATGGCTAGGAGGATAGGAGGATTGTGCGCAAGCGAGGTACCGTTAGATCTCAGGATCGCCGGAGTACCCGGGACAGCCATTCTTTGGAGATGGAAACCTCATAAACTCATTAGTTCTGATTACGAATCAGGAACACGGATGAAAGCACAGCAAGAAGTCGTCATCAGAAATCCCCTTTGAATCCCAGCCTACCATGATAATCTGTATGCAACGCTCGCCGCACCGGAAGGGCCTGAGAGGCACACTGTAAGGGGGGGGCATTTCTGTGGAAGGATCAAAGAAAGTCCTTTTGGTGTACATATGATAAGTTGTCATCGCCTACACCCCCCCGAGACTTTTTGATACGCAATCCTGAGTTGCTGTCTTAAAAAGTGTGCTGTTTGCTTTGTCTCGGGATCTTTTCGCACAAAAGCCCGGCTTGGGGGCAAAGTTTCAAACTTGGTGCAGTGCAGTGTAGAGATGGATCGATGTCCTCAATCCCAAAATACGGGTGGGGTGGGGATCACTGGCATTCTGGAGGTCGGAATTCTCTGCTCTTCCTTGTTGCAGAAGGAAAATGTTCAAGTTTGCGATGTGCGAGTGGTAATAAAATGGAAACATGAAATATGAGTGAAAGAGATGTGTCCTCACTATGGATGCGGGAGTGCTGTCTGGCGAAAGACAAGAAAAATGAAATTGAAACCTGAAAGTGTCCATGCTGGCTGATCAGTTCATTCGGCAGAACGATAATTTTCTTATGGAAAATTGCCCTGAGTCACACCCCAAGATGAACAAACGATTTTCACCTACCAGCCTTTGGATCTTGCGCTCCTCACGGGCGAGTACTGTGGTGAATATCTACAGAGAATTACAAGTATGGACAGCGGGGTCACGCCCATTATTGTCAGACAAGGAAACTCCTTAATCCAAAGATCAACACTCTTTTGACAATCCACGATGCTCCACGACGTTCCCCGCTCACAAAAATAAACCGAGGCTGGTGCCACGACTTGGCCAAGCTTCACCAGCTTCGCCTGGCCCAAGCGCCGCAACCGGTGCCGTCTGGTGCCCAGCCGGTGGACCGGACCACCACCGGTGCGACCAGTCTTGCGTGGGAGTACAAGTGTCACTGGTCCATCGCGATATAGACGGATGTTTGGGATTGTACCTTGAAGGATCTTTAAGGCCAGGAGCCCCTAGTAGCGTCCTTGCTCCTAGGTTTAAATGGATCCATCGATACCTCTCTTTTCGATACCAGGTCGTATTCCCAATTGTGCCTTGCTTTGAAGGCGGCGCGCCAGGTCCATGACACATCTTCGACTCGACTTCCGTCAGAAACTCGCAGCTGGTGACAAACACAACGACTGGATTTGAGGACCCAGAAGGATCACAAATCCCAGTCAGATGCACTGGTTGTGTTTGAGGTTAACGACTATACTATAAAATGTATTTGGTTTGAGTCCTTTTTGGGTTATGTTTCTATCACGACCAAATCTGGGATTCTTTCGGTTTGAGGGTCACGGGACTCAGAAAAAAGAAGGGACATCTAGTTTCGTTGAAAGGATAGGAATTTGTCAGTCTGAGGGATGGATCGCAAGGTCGACTGCCAAGGCACACCTGGTATATAGAGAGAGAGAGAGAATGAGAGAGGGGGAGAGAGAGAGAGAGAGAAAAAAAAGAAAAGAAAACTGATGGTCCGTGGTGTTTCCAAGACTTCACTCTTGGCTTTTGATATTCGCTGCGTGCACACATGCGGCTAGGAGCGTTCTATGACTGCTGATGTTTTCTTGCCGATTGAAGCTGGTACAAGGGCAGCAGAAAAGGCGCAGCACACAAAATGCGGTAATGTTTGGATCAGGAAGTGCAAGCCAAGTTGTAAGTTGTGCGAGGGCAATCTCTCTGTCATTCCTTCTATTACAGTCTCCTCCAAGCACATACGCTTGGTCACCCTTAGTTGTGAAAAGAAACATCTTTCTCGTCCCAAACTTGCATTCGCCACAGGTCAATCCCACGGGCCCCACGTCACGGCCACACTTCACTCGTCGTCCCTCGTCGTCCGGCATCACACGGTCACTGTTTTTTCTCACGAACGAAATCCCGCGAGGATGGTCTACTCGTCTCGTGCACGGGTAGTGTTCGCCCTCTCCGTCGGATTCCTTTTCCTTTAGGGCCCTTAGGGGCGCCCGAACCCACGAAGAGGAACACGACCGTGCGTTCTTTTGTGGAGCACGTCTCATGCAGTGAACGTACTACCCGCGCTCGGCCAAGAGCCGAGATTAAAACAGAGATCAAACATGGGTGTAGAAAGACCATCAACAGCATGAACATGAAGATGTATTCTTCTTTTTTCCTGGACCGGGGCCGTCCACAATAGTGATACAGTGATACCCCTTGCTTTTGACATCATGTTTCCACACCATTCAGCTCGCAAGCCTTCCCCAAGCGGGCCAGGACTTGTGACACTCGTCTCGGCTCACAGCTTGGCACTGGGCATCATCTCCACCTCAAAAATGTCAATCAGAAGACTCACAAAGCCTCCAAACTCCAGATCTCCAGCCAGGAAAAAAGATCTTCCCTCAAAGAGAAAGTCTCCAGCAGCGTCCAAAATCGTTTTCATGACCTTCAAAGAGGTCCTGAGGCCGTCAACCTCCATGTTGTGGTTTTGGGAAGATTCGGGAAGTCCTCCCGGAAAACCCTGCCTTTTTGGCCAAACGGAACAGACCGAACCCCTAAACCCGCCCCATGGACCCGGTGCGCAGAAAGCGGTCCGAACAGAAGGCGGGTCTTTGGCGCTGGGGCATACGTCAGTGGCGCCGTGGCGCCGTGAACCAGTTGAAAAGGTGAAAGAGAGAGTCGAGGAAGTGAACAAATATCTACCAATCCGACTTCACTCCTGAAAAGAACTACGTAATAGTGTCTGTCATCGTGTCTTTCCGGGAACGGTACCAGCCAAAAAGCTACGGCAATCAATCAGTACCCCGCCTCTTTTAAAGGGAGCACGCATCATCTTCCCAACAAATACAGAGAAAAGCTTTGAAGCCTCATCCACGTCCCCATTCAGACCAGGGGGCGATAGTGGCATTCGCAGTGCCGCCCCCTTCGCAAATCGCCAGCAGCCCAAAGCGCTTCTGCCAGGATCTAAATGTTTGGAAGGGTGGGCAGAAGTCCATTCATTCAAGCTGAGCTTCTCACTACAACACGATCAGCACGGTGCATGGAGGAGGCTGCAGATTGGTGGCTATGCTGATGACCAAATAATCAATCCCTTGCAATCAAAGTTCAGCCAATGCTGAGGTTTGTAATTATGTGAGTTTGAGGGGTTGGCCGGTTGGCCAAGTTCAGAGATGGATCCTAGCCAAGGCCATCGAGATATCTGCACCAGCAGGAACCCCAAGAGAATTTGGTATGCATGGCTGTTCTCCCGCCAGTTTTCCGAGAGCAAGCGAGAGGGATCTTGCAGCTCCAGAGACGATCACTTGCTGGCTCTTGCATCACAGTATATGATTGTGGATAGATGGGTGGATATGTGACAAATAATATGAAACAGAGGATGGGAAGACATTGATAGATATATAGGTAGATAGTTGATCGGTACATCAATGCATTGGTACACTGATACATCGATGGATACATGGATACGTCTCATAGGTGCACAAAAAAAGATTATGGATGGGTTAGGTAGAGAAGAAGCAGAAGCAAAAGAAGAAGCAGAAAAAGAAGAAGAAGAAGAAGAAAACGAAAGAAGCGATCTTTCCCCTTGTCCGCCGATGTCTTGGCTTCCGCCAGATTGAAACTGTGCAGCAGTCCGAAAGCACGGCCAGCAAAGCCAAGATCACAAATTGAATTTAATGGCTTGCGGTGAAGGTTGGTGTTTTGGAATCATGCATTTTCCAATTAGCTCCTTCTGCTAAGTTGAAGCTGTTTTCCAACTGACCACGCGGTTTTCACTTCCACCTTCTAATCCATGCCCCAAGGATCGGGGTATAGATCGTGTGTGGGTTTGGGTGTGCAGCCAGATGTCTTTTTGGGCGATTAGAAAGGAAATGCAAAGGTTGCTTCTTCTCAAGACGGCGAGAGTGTTTTTGTGGGCTTTGGGATTAGCCATGTATGAGTGTTCTAGAGAAGGAAGAATCAAAACACGAGGCTAAACAAGAATAGTCACGCCAAACAGGTGCAGCAAATTCAAGGCACTGTGTCGAACAGCTCTGCCTTTGCATCTTCTTGACGCCGTCTTGAGAAGCTATTTTAGGAGCAAGGACGCTATTACTAGTAGCTTTATATATAATTATATACTCTAAGCGACCCAGTGCTGAGCTTGCAAAGCTTTACCACACCCGAACCGTCCACCCGCCCGTTTGTCGGGGATCCACCACCCTTGAGAGACAGTATGTTCAAAAGTTTGAAGCTGGGCAAATCTCCCCAACACTGCAGATAGGCCTTCCTGGGTATCAACATCGAGTTAAGCTCAAACAAGAATAAAATGCCAAACTGTTTAAACGGATTGAGTGTATCTGGTCTCAAGGACCCCAAACTGCTGGGTGTTCATCAATGCTTCTGAACGCTCCAAACATCACCCTGAACATGTCTGAACTGACGAAGCTCCTGGTAGACCTGCTCCGAAACAAGTGGGGAACCCGTTTTTGTTGGTTCGTTTGATCTACGAGGATGGGTCATGCACACTTCTTTGCGCAACACACTTTTGGAAAGAGATATCGTCTTCCCATGAGCTAGAAAGTGCCATGCTAGTGAGTCAGTGTAGATATCCAACTCGGAGGATACCCCTGACATGGTTCCCCCAGCGCGTCAACCGTGTGACCACTGGCCTTGCGGCGCTTGAGCTCATGGAGCAAGGTGGTCATCAGCTTCGTGCCGGTCCCTCAAAGCGGCCGACCGGGAAAGGAAAAGAACAAACAATCTCACGAGAACCAGATGCTTTTTCTTTTCCTTCTTTTTTGGGGGGGCCGCTCCCCCCATCCCTACTTAGTTAAGTAGACGCCTACTTACAGTAATTAAGTAAGGGAGAGGTAGCTACTAGGACTTTGTTCGCTCTGTTCATTTGGTTCCTAGATGTTTGGGGAAGCTTAAGGTATAGCCAATGTCTGTTGTGTCTCCCTGATGGTCTTTGTGCCAGCAGTACATCACCGGATCTCATGTGGTCTTGGGAAACGTGAGGTCCAACCGGCCCCAACAGCTCCAACCAAAAACAAAGCGCTACATCCAGATCGGCAGGTCTCCGCTAGCACTGCTACACCTCCTGAGTCCAAGAGGTAAGACTTCACAAAGTTCTCAGTCTTCAACATCAAATCTCCCTAGCTCAAATCCCAAAGACTCTCTTTGGGCAGCCACCACTTGGGGGTTTGAGCCAAGAGTCTGGTCCCCGCCACATTGCACAGAACCCTCTAGCTGCCTCAAATCCCTTGCTCCCAGTGGACGGCCCAGCCTCCCAGTGGATGGCCCAGCGCCATTGCACCACCGTTGACCTTGCTGCGGGTTCCATCCCTCTCGTCCGTGGCGTGGCTCATGGGCTCATGGTGCTTCTAAAAGCAAATTCCTCAACAAAAATATGCTCTGGAAGCCTGCTCTGTCAATATGAAAACCACTTTCTCTGGACAAATGCGGCATCTCCATCGTCGAAGACCCTTTCAAGCGACCTGTGAGGTCGCCTCGGTTCGACCACCCAAAAGTGTTTAGCCTTTGATTTCGATCGCCAAAGCTTGTTCGCAACAAGCATCTGGAAAGATCCAGGCTGGCTATACTCATAGCTTGCCGTGTTCTCTCACACAGTAGAAAATATTGCGATGGACATATTCCTAAAGCTGAAGAACTGCGAACCCTCTTGAGCCAACCCTCTTTCGGCAAACCCGCTTTCCTTATGGGCAAAAAGTCGAAACTCATTGAATTCTTGGAAAAGTCATTCTGCCCTTGCCCAGGGTCCCATTTGCGGTAGTACCAAAAGTCCTCGTCGAGACATGGATGACCATCCCTAATGAAAGCAAACCGAGTTTGGACTTTGGATCATCCCTCACGTCACGCTCCTTCTGCAGCTCAGCCACATTCAGCTTCTCAAAATCTGCGCCCAAGGCCTTTTTCCAAAGCATCATGGGTGGCGAAGCTCTTGGGCTCTACCAGCCACTGGTGTCAACTCCTTGTTTGGTTAGATGAAAAGGTGGAAGCAGGTGACCTAAATGACCCAAATGAACTCCAACTTGTGCTCACGTTTCGGCCCGGAACACCAAGCCTTGCACCAAGCCAGGGGCACTGAGGCAAAAGCTTCATTCACCTCACCAAGACGGTTCAAAACGGGCCAACACATCACTTAGGGACGGCTGCTTGATGACCCAGCTCTGAAACTTGCCTCGCTCAGGAGTCCTGAAACCAGAGAAGT